CTGCTCTAACCACTATTCTCCACTTCCTAGTGGACACAAACCAATTCAGGCTGGATCCACCCACCCACCCTGCAGTGGTAAAATCTGGTTTGTACCACTCCAGACTAAAATGCTGATAGTGGGAATTTGTGGTTGAATATTCCATTTTAAAAGCATCCCTCCCCATGTCCTTGCACATGGAAAACCAGACGTCAGAGAGGATCCTATCCTCGTCTTCTGTGTGTCACAAGGAAAACTAAGCTGGCTCAGATCAGAGCTACCTAGTTAAGCATCCTGGTTGCAATTGTGCCTCAATCAAGCCCACAAGCAGGTCATGAAAGGAACAACAGTCCTCCTCTGCTGATTGTCTCCCACAATTGGAATTCTGAGATACACTGCTCCTGGAATTGGAGGTTTCATTTGGCCATTGTGGCCAACAGCCATTGATAGGTCTGTCCTCTATAAATCATCCCGATCTTGCTTGAAAGCTCTTGAAGCTTGGGCCATCACAACTTGTGGTAGCGCACCCCATTGATGTACCCTTGTTAAGATTATCAATGAGAGAGTTCAATCATGTGATCTTCCACCTTCTGTCTCAAGTGGCACAGAGTACAGTTTTGCCACCTCACTGTGCTGTTTCTATAAACCGATCAGGTCTCGGGCCTTCCCAGTGTGGCACAGTCAGCCTCTTGCACCAACACCTCAGCTCCACAGCAGGAGACACAGGATAACGAAAAACAAATCCTGGTGACTTATGGCTTCAGAGAGACTCTTTCAGTGCCAGTCCAGTCTGTGGCTGGCTTTCCGTTTCTCTCTGCATGGGGGCCGTTTTGCAGACGGCTCCCCATGCTGCCGTGCGGAGCTTTGAGTCCACTGCAGAACATATGATTAGTCCTCCGTGCCCCTGGCGATGCAGAACAATCATTTCTCTGCCTCATATGCTCCTTTCATGCCTGCTGGCTCTCCCACCCACCCTCCCACTTCAAAGACTCAAACAAGATTCTATATAATGAACTTGGGTGTTGTCAGTGCCTGGAGGGCCAATAGTACAAAGCTGGCAAGAAAGGGACAGTGTGATAATACCAACCAAGAGCTCCACTGACACCCCAGTCACACCCGGAGGGACCACTCTCTCTCTTACACCCAAACGTACTTCCCCACAATTCCCAGGTCCTTTTGGCAAACCATGTAGTAGTATAGAAGCTTAGCATCAGGTAAAGCCAAAGTATTCCATTTCCTGTCTACCAGCTGCATAACGCAGGAACCTGTATGCATACAGAAGTTAGCATATTGTCCGGGAAACAATCACAGAATTGTAGAAGGGACCACCAGGGTCATCTAGTCCAACCCCCTGTAATGCAAGAATCTTTTGCCCACAACCAGGATTAAGAGGCTCATGCTGTACCGACTGAGCTATCTCAAACCTCTTAGAAACCCGTTTGGCACATTTACAGTGGCGCCTCGCAAGACGAAATTAATTCATTCCGCGAGTTTTGTCGTCTTGCCATTTTTTTCGTCTTGCGAAGCACGGTGTCGGGAAAGTTTTGGGAAAGCTTCAAAAATCACCAAAGTCTTCAAAAACCTCAAAAAAGGCTACCACACCGCGTTCTATGAGTTGCTCCTCGAAGTCAAGTCGCAACTGTATTAACGGTGTTAAGAAAAGGAAACAAACTTGCAAGACGTTTCCGTCTTGCGAAGCAAGCCCATAGGGAAAATCGTCTTGCGAAGCAGCTCAAAAAACCAAAAACCCTTTCGTCTAGCGAGTTTTTTGTCTTGCGAGGCATTCGTCTTGCGAGGTACCACTGTATTTAATATTTCCAAAGATATTTATATATCAGCATTCACAGAAAAGTATCAGAGCCGTTTACTACAATTGGATAGAAACCCATAAAATAAAAACCACATGGAAATGTTAAAATAAGAAATTGGCTAACTATTGCGGAATTATGTGTTCTTAATTGGCTGCACAAGTCTGACGGAATAGAAAGGCATTTAAAAGTTGAAACAGAAGGCATCTGTGGTATCTAGGTGGCAATAATAATAATAATTTTAAAAAATTAAAAAATTGCATAGCTTTGTGAAAGGCCCCATCAAACTTGGGATTGAGAGTCATTGTGGTATAATGGTTCAAGTGTTGAATTGGGAGCTGGGAGACCCAGGTTCAAATTCCTACTTAACCATGAAGCTCACCAGTCTAGTCACAGCCTCTCAGTCTAACCTACCCTGCAGGGTTGTTGTGTGCCAAAAATGGACAACCATGTTTGCCACCTTGACCTCCTTGGAGGAAAGGTGAGGTGCGGTTTAAAAATAAAGTAAATATTTGCCACACCGAACATCGAGAAGACTGCTGCATGGATTAGACAGGTCACATTGCCGATGGCTTCATTTCCACAGCCCTTGTTGTGTGACATTGTGGAATTCCCTTAAAATGGGAAATGCTACATGTACGAAGACATGGCATGAATTCCGAAACTGTTACCTGGGGCTCTTTTAGAAAGTGATGAATGCAAACAAGAAAGCAACCACTGCAAGCCAAGTATGGGCAAGTGTTTGTGAGCTATATATGGGTTAATCAGTGAGCTGACCCAACTACACATTTTTGTTTTGAGCTTGGATTTAAAGCAGCCTCCTTCAACCTTGGGTCCCCAGACGTCGGACAACGCCCATCGTCCTGCACTACTGGGGAAGAAGGCTGGGGAAGATGGGAGGTATAGTCCAACAACATCTGGAGACCCATAGTGGAAGAACAGAGAATGCACCTGAAGAACGTTTTTGGAATCCGTTCAAAGTCATTGGGTCAATAAAGTTGGTAGAGCACTCAGCGATCTCTCTAGTCTGTGCAGCAAAGACACATCTGATGGCTGTCCAAATCTTGCTGCCACTTAAGAGCTATTCCAATGCAAACTAACTTGGGCATGCACTACCAGTGTCTGCAGAGTCTATGGTATTTTCATCTTCCCTATGCAAAGAACTTCCACCTACATTGTATAGCTAGTAGGCTCTAGACTCTTGTATTGGCAGATTCTCTGGGGCCCATGCAACACCAAGAAGAGCCAAACCAAGAACTGCTTCACTGACGTGGCTCCATTCAACTTGCTGGCTATTGCACCAGTAGCAAAGGGATCCCCAGAGCACTTAGGAAAGGGCAGGAAGGGGTGGCACACATGTGTACCAGCTGCTACCCAGGGAGCCTGTTGCATCAGTTCAGCAGCTATGGAGAATGGTTGCATTGAGAACTCCAGGGTTTTATAAACACATTTCAATTTCATGGAAGAAACAAAATAAAATAAAAATGCCTTCCAGTAGCACCTTAGAGACCAACTAAGTTTGTTATTGGTATGAGCTTTTGTGTGCATGCACACTTCTTCAGATATCTGAGCATGCTGGGAGCACCAGCAGCAGAAGACTGGCTGGCCCAGTTGTTGCAGCCACAAGGTTAAGTAGGCCAGGAGTAAAAGCTGGCAGATGGAGGCAGCAGGTGCTATTTGAGGATTTCATCCTGTCTCCTGCTCTGCGGTCTCTCCTCATTCCACATCAACAGCAGCACAAGCAACAGAAGCTCCACAAGCTTTAAAGTGGAAATATATTTATGGGTGGGTGGGTGTGGACGTGTTGCAAGTCTAACCCTGGCAAGAGAGGATTGCTGGGCTAGAGTTCTAGCACTGACTGGGGCATCTATAAAATCAGATTACATTGCAGGTAGCCTCAAGGCAGGGGACGGTAACAATTATCAGGCACATCCCTCAACTAAATCACATTGGTGAAGGAGCCAAGGCTGGAGACAGTCCTGGATAATTGATGGTTTTAATCTTTTCAAAAAAGGGGTATAGGCCATCACCTGTTTCTTCATCCCAGCATCCCTAAATGTAACGTGATATCTGAACAGCATCTAGGACAACCTAATTAAATTAAGTATGTTTCCACATCTTATGTTCCCTCTAAAGACGAAGACCAATGCAGACTTAGCCAATCTGATGACGACTCAAAATCTTGCTTGCTATTTTGTGCCTTTTACTTTGACCCAAGTTAATGAACTACTGTGGATTTTGCAGGTAGGTAGCCATGTTGGTCTGCCGTAGTCGAAACAAAATAAAAAAATTCCTTCCAGTAGCACAGACCAACTAAGTTTGCTATTGGTAAGAGCTTTTGTGTGCATGCACATTTCTTCAGATATTTTTATTATTGGGTAACTTTACTTTCTAGGATTACCCCTCCCCCACATCACTCTGGTTCTAGAAACTGGGGCTTTCAGGATCTTCCACTCCATTTCCTGGACCCAAGAGATCAGGACACAAACCTGAAGCCATGATCTCTTGCATGAAATTAACTTCACATTATTCCCGGGGCATCTTGAGTCATTTCCAAATTTGGTTTCCAAATTCGTTTGTTGACAGGGTAAGTCAGGCTGTCAGTGCTTAAGGACAAAAGAGCACATGTCCTCGCGACAGCAGATGTGAGGCAACAGGAAAAATAACTCATATGAGAGGCAATGGGTTACACAAGTGCTGGGAAGGAAAAGTTTGTCCTAGAACTAAGGTTCTCAGAACTTGAGCAATAATTCCTCAGTAAGATGCAGGAAGCTGAAAGCGTTTCTCAAGCATCATCTTTTTGTCCACCTCTCCAGAATGCATCTTAATTGGGTTAAGAATAAAAAAATGAGCATTGTACTGATTTAGCACACTAGGGCTGTTGGGTTTTCTTGATATTAATGTGGTCAATGGTGCTACTCAGAGGTGTGTGTTTGTAATTATAACCTGCATGGCAGCACATCTGTGAACTTTTGACAATTCAGCACACCTGAGGTATCTTAACAATTTAACTAATTAGCAGGGGGAGCTTACCTACTGCACCAAATGCAGCAATGCAATAGGGTAATTATTTGAAAACTGTATTTAAGTTGATCAAGCGGTGTAGTGCGTAGTTATAGAATACTGTTAGGCAATGCTGTTGAAGAAAGGTGGTGAGAAGGGGTGTTTTGCAGCTGTTTGATTATTATTTAAAAATAAAGGCAAGCAAAGATATTGCAGGCAAGCTTTTATTACATCGCCCCAGTCGCTGCGCAAACTCGGTTGGCGCATATGTCCAACAAGGGCCTACTGGGATCACGGGTGATTCCTACCCCAAAGAAAATAGAGAATGAAAGAGAATGTTGTAAATAATCCTACGAAAGCTAGTAGCCTACAAAATTAATTAATTAATTAATTAAAAAAGTAGTAGTAGTAGTAGTCGTCGTCTGCTGGGGGCTGGCTCCATCTCTCCTGCAGTGGGTCACCTCATTTCAATGATGGGCACAGAGGAAGAGGCTCCTCTCTTTGGGAAGCCCACCTGGTTTCTATGCTCACCCCTTCTCTGCCAAACTACTTGCTTGCCGGCATAGAATTTCTGGTTGCTTACACCAGCTAGGCTAGTGCTTAATTGTAAGGCTGGTGTACAAACCTGAGAGATGAGACTAGAGGTCCATCTACTCCAGTATCTATTTTCCATCAGCGACCAGCAAGATGCCTCCAAAAAGTCCACCAACACAGCCTTAAGCAGAAAAAAAATTCCAATAGACTCCCTTGCTGTTACACCCCAGCAACTGGTACCATGTGGCACACTTCCTCTGAACAAGAAGAAATCTTCATATAGGTGTCAAGGCTGATAGCTTACATGGAGCTGTAGACACTTGCAAAGATCTAAAGAAGGCAGGTCAGGCAGGACTTTCCTTTGAAGAAGCCATGTTGATAGTAAGCAAGACTTACTTCTTCAGTGTGCTCCATACATCTATCATTAACAACGTATTCCCTCAATTTAGCAGAGGCAGACCTTAGGCCAAGTGGCCTGTTAATGTCTTGCTTTCCCCCTTTCGAAAAAACCAGCAGCAAAATGTTGACCACTTTCCAATCATCTTGGTAAGGAGACCAATTTTAGTGACATGTGGTATCTTTTATTATAAGATTAGCAATCATTTCAAGAATTATTGGGTGTCTGCCACCCGAACCCAATGACGTTAATTTTAATCCATCAATCAACTGTAAACTTCCATCTCCTGTCATCCCTATTTGATTAAGTTCTTCTGGTGTTGAGTCAGATGGCTGATTCTGCAGCGGCCACACCGGGGCCAGAGCAAACACTGACACGTGTGAGGTAGGAAATCTAAATCGCAATCCCATTACACACTAATCCGCCATGATGGTCTTCTGCACACGCACACACACACACACACACTGAAAGGGAGCTATACCAAAGCACCATCACATTCTTGCAGGGCTCCCCTTCATTTCACTGGGGCTTGCCCAGTGGATTGTGCCCCATGAGCCAGCTCTCTCGTGTCCCCACTGCTGCCGTTAAGAGCACCCAAAATCCACTGTCTGAGGCAGCGGCTTCCCCTCACGTGAACCCATTTACAAAACAGGCCTAGACATCCTCAGGCAGCATCCTCACTCAACAGCCTCTCCTTGCTGTGGGGCGATTTTGTCTCCTATCCAGATGACGGTTCAGTCCTTGTCCTCTGTGCTCTTCTACAGTAAACACTCTATAGCCACAGCACTTCCCTTACTACTTGAAAAGCAACGAGTGTGCCTGTGACACCCCTGCGTCGACTGCTTCTGTCTGCAGGGTGCCTCTTACCCAGTTCACGTAGCCCATATTTCACTGAAAGGAATTTTGGACTGACTGAAGACTCTGCCCGGCCTCACAGAAGACTATCTTCCGCTCGGTTTGCAGCCTCCCCTCCCGCCCTCCTCTCGCATCAATCAAAGTCAATGGTGACCTCTTCAATCTCTTCGTGGCTGTTCTGGACGGTGCTCTTGCCGTGCATCTCCTTGAGGTGGCGCCGCAGGCCCGGTTTGTGGGTGAAGTGCATTTCGCAGTAGTTGCACTTGTGGGGCTTGATGCCGCTGTGGAGGTTGAGGTGGTCCTGCAGGGTGGCGTTCTGGGTGAAGCACTTGCGGCAGACGGGGCACTGGAAGGGCTTGAAGCCGGTGTGCACGCGGATGTGGCGCGTCAGGTTGCTCTTCTGCGAGAAGACTTTGCCGCAGCGGAGGCACAGGAAGAGTTTGTGCTCCTGCACATGGCTCACAAAGTTCCCCAGCTGCTGGAACACACTGTTGCAGCGGGGGCACCGGTACGGGCGCTCCAGCCCCGGCACTTTCCACGATGCCACCCCGCCACCCGCCCGCCAGTCCCTGTACGCCATGGCCGTGCCATGCCGGTGACGATGCAGCGGGTAGTTCCTCCACTGAGGGGCAGGGGCAGGAGCCGCTGGAGGGAAAGTGAGTCCTTCGCTGCTTGCTTCGTCGTCATAGCAACCCTGCAGGTAGCTGCGCGTGATCTCCACAGCGGAGTTGATGAGGGAGAGGGAGATTGCAGGAGAAGAGGGGCCGTGGGAGTCGCGTGGGGTGAACTCAGGCACTTCCACTTTGACATCCTCAGAATCTGTCTCCCCCATAGGTGAAGGAGGTTGCTTCTCCTCCCCTTCTTCTTCCCCATCCTGCTGGGAATAGCTCCCCTCCGCCTGCTCCTCCCGCAGCAGGGTGTCTGCCTTGGGGACTAAGTAGTGGGAGACCGCCTGCGCACAGCGCTCCACCACGTGGCCCATCTGCAAGAAGGAAGCAGCTGTTAGGTAGTTGACCAGTTCCTTGATGGGCACCTCGAGGCATCCTGTGTAGCAAGAGAGGAGAAGCTGGCGCCCGATCTCTGGACTCTGGAAGAGGGAGACGGACACCTCCTGGGAGTCATTGAGCAGGAACTGGTCGCGCAAGAAAGGGGAGCAAGCAGCAAAGACCACACGGTGCCCGGGAACCCGCAGGTCGTTCACCTGCACTGTCACGTCACAGAAGCGCCTCTGCTGCCTTAGCTGGTCCATGCGGTGCAGCACCCCATCGCCGTAGCCAGGAAATCGAAACTGCAGCCGTTCGCAGGCTGGGGCCATTTTTGATGTGCCTGGGAAGGGGGGACAAGACATGGGAGGAGGGGACAACTGAATTATATGCAACACACTAAAAGGGAATCCAGACACCTGGATATCCATGTATGTGAACTTGGAGGCACCTGATCCTTGTTTCAGACTAGGAGCAACTAGGGTGAAGAGAAGTTTCAGTTTGATTGGGTGGAGGGGAATAAAAAGATTTGCCCATAAGAAAACTCACAAAGGTGCTATTTCCATGTTGAAAATAATGTCACTACAACTGCATCAAGCAGCTGTGCAATCTCATCAAGTATTGAAGTAGTTATAAGATACTTTAATACCAAGGGTGAAATTTCATGTCTTCATTCATGTGCCCAAAGAGATTTTACAGATTTAACGAATACTTTAATGCCTTGTAAAAAAGTTTAGCAAGTTTACAACTCTCTTTCTTTTGTCATAAAATGGTCAAGAACACAACAGCAAGGCAGTTAACTAGGGTTCACCATGGGATCATATTTCTCTGGTGCTTTAAATGTTTCCAGGCGCAATTCAGAGTTAGTTTTAACTTAGAGCTCGAATCAACCTTCTCCTATATAAGGCTGTTCACCAGCTACAATCTTCATTGTAGTTCCTTCTCCGGAACTCCCCCCCCCTGAGATTAAGCAGATGGCTGGGGGGCAGGCAGTGTTCTTTCATGGCATCTGGTTTGTGGAATTCATTTTCCGGAATACTTGCCTGGAATAGTTTTTATTATTTTTACTACGCCAAGGTGGTGGTTAACCTGTGGCCCTCCAGATGATGCAGGACAAAATCTCCCATCATCCCTGGCATTGTCCCTGCTGGCTGATGAGAGTTGGGTTCCTACAACACCTAGAGGTTAGCCACTTCCACAAGTTGCATCAAACACAGTGGGATTTAATTTTGCGTAAACATACAAAGGACTGTACTGCAAGTTCATCCTGTTTACTGGAGCTTCTAATAAACTACAATAACCTTGACGGTTAACCAGGCTAGAAGGAGAAAACTGAGAGTAACCCACCCAGAATTTCTAAATATTTCCAAACTTGGAAAACTTTGGTTACTTTAAAATATGGTCTGTTAACAAAAAGGATTACAAATCATTACCTGATCCTGGTTTGTTTCAACAAACTACTGTTTAAATTCACAACACCGAACTCTGGAGACTTTTTTTGTCTGTGTTTGGTTTCAAATAAACCAATCTTCTATTTCCAGTCTCCCAGTGGACAGCATACTACTACTGTACTGTGATCTGTTTTAACTGTTTTTAACTTTAAATCACTGTAACCTGTCCTGGGACCTGCTGGTGACGGGCAGGTAATAAATGTAATAATAGTAGTAGTAACAATGATGAAAGCATGTAGTTTAACGTCACAAACAAACTGGCCCATTGTATCTAACTAGCCTTGTAAGCTGCCACAAGAGCTGTTTTAGCCAACTTTTAAAATAAACCTACAAAAGTGAGTAGCCTGCAAGTGATGCTACTAGCCCACTCATTTACTTTCACACACTTTTTTGCTGCTCGTGGCTACGTAAGGATCGTTTACATAGGGCAGGAAAGGTAATAAATTACATAAGCAGAAGCAATAATTTAAAGTCAAGTAACAATAACATCTATAAAGCTGGGCACTGTACCTGTAAGATCCGATTCGGCACAACCCCTCTGAGCTAACTGCATCCCCCCAAAAAAACATTTACATCAAAATGGTAATATTTTGTGAACTTGACAGCTGAAGAACCGCTATAGCTAAAATCCAACAGGCACAGACAGGAAATGATTGCCGAATAACATGTCATCCCTGCAATTGCCACCAGATCACCTCTTTGTGCATCGAATGCTAGGACCCTTTTATGAATGAAATTATTTATTTTCCCTCACTTTGGAGGGATATCGACTGGGAAAGGAATGCAAAAAAAAAAAAGGACTATTTATCCTGATGCTTAGAATGCATGGGAACGCTTATTAGTTTTAAATGGGCATTTTACGTATCGTTTGTTTAAGGCTGTTTTCTCCAAGAACACAATGAAAACCTCAGCGAAACATTGAGCCTCCCACCGGCGCGCATGTGCCTCCTTACTACTATTCTCGAAAGCGTTCTACTCCGCTTGCGTAAAGCGCCTTACTGCCCCCGCCCTCGCCCATCTGCGCCTCTTCGAACTTCGAAGCTGCGCGCACAGCGACCCCTGCCGGGCGCCCTGATCTCCCCGCTGCGCTGTTCGCGTAGCTCCTCGCTCTCTCCCCATTCAACCGAGCTATTCACAGACGCCTGCTACGCTCTTCCCGCACCGTACGCCCCTGCGTTCCTGGTCGCAGACGGACGCAAGTTACGTGAGATGCGCCGCTCCTCACGCTACTCACCCGTAACCGCGGCCCGCTCGCCGGCCCCACCACCGGCGCCTTGTCGTCTCTCTTCGGGCGTGGGGAAGGGACCGCTGCCGCTTCTTAGGGCCTCCGAGGCGGTCGCTTCACACCGGCTCCGTCAAGGCCACTCGCGGCAACCCGGCCGCGCCGCCATCTTGGAATCCGCCCTCTCGGAGGGTCCGGGACTTTTTCCCCCAGGCGGGCAAGGGCAGGGATTGCTCCGCGGAGCGACCCGCCGCTGGGGCTCGTTGCGAGGGGACGGGGGGGAGTGAAGGGGTCGTGCGAGCAGAAGCGGAACCGTATCCCTCCGCCTGGAAAGAGTCCGATGCCTGGAGACAACGAGGCATCGCCCCACCTCACACTGAACCCCACAGGAGCCTCTGGCCCGTTGGCAGGAGCCTCCTGAAAGCAGCCAGCCCCACCTCCATGACACCTTCCACACCACTGCTTCCTTCCACAGAAATTCCCTCACACTGTTATTTATGAAATTCCTATGCCGCCCTTCATCCGGGGGTCACAGGGCGGCTTACAATACAGTGGTACCTCGGGTTACGGACGCTTCAGATTACAGACTCTGCCAACCTAGAAATAGTACCTCAGGTTAAGAACTTTGCTTCAGGATGAGAATAGAAATCACGCGGCGGAGGCAACAGGAGACCCCATTAGCTAAAGTGGTGCTTCAGGTTAAGAACAGTTTCAGGTTAAGAACGGACCTCCGGAACGAATGAAGTTCTTAACCCGAGGTACCATTGTACATAAAACACAGCAGCAACGTGCAAAAGCAGTGCCCCCAATGTGTCTTCACCTCCCCATTTGGCACTTCTATTTCCCCTTGCTACAACCAGAGACAGACTTGGGTAACAGGGCATCCTGAGTGAGGACAATATTTGGCGCCCCTACTCACTTTTGAGTAGATATGCATCATGCATATAGATTAAGGTTACCAGATATCTTTCAATTAATCTGGGGACACTTTAAATGAATAAATACTGCACGTTCGGGAAGTTGATGCAGTGGTGGCAGAGGGGTGGATGCCACCTTGACCTCAACCGCCACGTTTCCCCTTCCTACGAGGCTTCTATCTCCTTTCTCCATGAGCCTGGGCAGCCTCTGAGTTGTTGGTTCTTTGGTGGTGGTGGGGAAGTGGTGCTTGATGGGTCAGGCATGGAAGGCGGAGAAGGAGGGTCGAGAGCGGTGGCAGCGAGGCTCAGGCAGCGTGATGCCTCCACATCGGAGAAGCCCCAATCCCATTCCTACTTGCGTGCAAGCAGTGGCGTAGCATGGGTTGTCAGCACCCGGGGCAAGGCAAGTAATTTGCACCCCCTAACCCGTGGATTTGCGCCCCCTAACCCGTGGATTTGCGCCCCCTAACCTGTGGATTTGCCCTAACCCCAGATGTTGCGCCCGGTGCGGCCGGCCCCCCCTGCACCCCCCACGCTACGCCACTGCGTGCAAGCAGAAGGGGGCAGAGATCTCTCAGGCAGCGCAATGCCTCCCTTCTCATCGGAGCAGCCCCAATCCCATTCCTACTTGCGTGCAAGCAGAAGGGGGCAGAGATCTCTCAGGCAGCGCAATGCCTCCCTTCTCATCAGAGCAGCCCCAATCCCATTCCTACTTGCGTGCAAGCAGGAGGGGGTAGGGATCCCTCAGCTGGGAAGGGAGGCTTCCCCTTGCCTAACTGAGAGATTCCTGCCCCCTCCTGCTTGCACGCAAGTAGGAGATGGGAGGCTGCTCCGATAGGCAGCATGAAGCCTCCCTTCACAGCTTAGTTGCTGGGATGAGGGAAGGTGGAGGCAGCCCAGAAGCTGCATCTTAAAGCCCCTGCACCACCATCATACGGGGACTTCCGAGCAGCTCCTGAAGCCAGCCAGAGCCAACTGCTCCGGGCTGCTGAGACTGCCGCTGCTGCATTTCCCGGGGACATTAGATGAAATTCGGGGACATTCCGGGGATGGAATTTGTCCAGGGACTTATTCACAAATCGGGGGATTGTCCCTGGGAAACGGGGGCGTTTGGTAACCCTAAATAGGTGGCATTATTATTATTATTATTACAGTGGTGCCCCGCAAGACGAATGCCTCGCAAGACGAAAAACTCGCTAGACGAAAGGGTTTTCCGTTTTTTGAGTCGTTCCGCAAGACGAATTTCCCTATGGGCTTGCTTCGCAAGACGAAACGTCTTGCGAGTTCTTGCGAGTTTGTTTCCTTTTTCTTAAAGCCGCTAAGCCGTTAATAGCCGCTAAGCCGCAAATAGCCATGCTTCGCAAGACGAGAAAACCGCAAGACGAAGAGACTCGCGGAACCGATTAATTTCATCTTGTGAGGCACCACTGTATTACTACTACTACTATTACTATATTGCACCTCCTCAGTTTGACGCCCTGTGTAGGGAACCACCTGCAAACTGTACAAGATATGTGCTAAGAAATAGTACAGTTAATATATGGGGAGACAAAAAGATCAAAACTAGATCCCGTCTCAGGAAAAGCAGGGCAACATGTTATTTCCACAGGCACATCTGTGTGTCCAGGGGAAGACTTTGGTAATCTCTCCATCATATGGCGCCAAAATTTGGTGCTCCCAAATGGATTTTCTATGTTATGGATCTTCTCCATTTGGTGCCCCCTCAACTGTGCGGGGGAAATCTGGCACTGCTGTGTCAATGGTTCTTTGAAATACCATTTCCTTGCCTTTCCCTTTGCTCCGTGTCCTACACTAGCTGTCAAACAGTTGGACCCATCTTTACAGAACCTCTACCAGCAAATATATGCAGCAGCCTGGAAAGCTTAGTTGGTTAGAGCGTGGTGCTGATAATGCCAAGAATGTAGCTTCAATCCTTGTATGGGACAACTGCATTTTCCTGCATTGTAGGGGGTTGGACTAATAGATGATCCTCAGGATCCCTTCCAACTCTCCAATTCTATGACTCTATTTAATTTAAGGAGCGGGGGATATTAAAAACACTAATGAGGCTCTCAGGATGAAAAGTAGGTTGTGTGGGTGGGGAGAGTTTTGTAATTAGCAAAATACAAAGACTAATCTTCCCATTAAAATGAGGTTTTTGCTTTGCCTTGCCTACTAAAGTATAATAACCTTGCTTGTAGAAGACTTTTCTGAGCACAACAGAAGATCCCAACAGGCAGAGAGGAAGGAAGGAAGGAAAGGACATTGCAACACACCGATCGTGAGCTAACACGACCTCTGACAGGGAGGAGAGAATTAATCATCAGAGCCCAGTGTCCTTATGCCAACACATTGCTTATTATTTTAATCCTGGATTCGATACAACTAGGACAAAAGCCGTTCTGGACCCTGCAATCTATTTTTGTTGCAATGCAAGAGGACGGACACCTGGCAAGCTGAGCAATATATATATGTGTGCACAACATGTGTTAACACTAGTCAAATCCCTTACAGGGACTTCTGCACTCGTAAGATGTTTATAGACCCCTAACACATTTTGAGCTTTGTTATTTGTTATTCCAGGCGGTGGCGGCGTTCCAGGAGAAAATAATGTGGCATTATTTGGGGCTAGGGCAAAAACGGTCTGCCCTCTTGACTAGAAGTCTTGTTTTTGTTGTTTAGTTGTGTCCGACTCTTCGTGACCCCATGGACCAGAGCACACCAGGCACTCCTGTCTTCCACTGCCTCCCGCGGTTTGGTCAAACTCATGCTGGTAGCTTCAAGAACACTATCCAACCATCTCGTCCTCTGTCGTCCCCTTCTCCTTGTGCCCTCCAACTTTCCCAACATCAGGGTCTTTTCCAGGGAGTCTTCTCTTCTCATGAGGTGGCCAAAGTATTGGAGCCTCAGCTTCACGATCTGTCCTTCCAGTGAGCACTCAGGGCTGATTTCCTTCAGAATGGAGAGGTTTGATCTTCTTGCAGTCCATGGGACTCTCAAGAGTCTCCTCCACCATCTTCGGCGATCAGCCTTCTTTATGGTCCAGCTCTCACTTCCATACATCACTACTGGGAAAACCATTACTTGAACTATACGGACCTTTGTTGGCAAGGTGATGTCTCTACTTTTTAAGATGCTAGAAGTCTGCCCATTGTCAAATACCTAACTGCACTGCTGCACAGAACTGAGAGAATGACAGGTGATTGTGGCTGCATTGTTGAGTTAAGACTATTTCCCTAGGGCTTGAGAGATGAGGCTCAAATCGCCACTCAGCTGCAAAGGTTGCGGGTGACCTTTGGCCAATGACAACATTTCAGGTTAACCTACTACAGGTAGGTTGTACTGCATGGCAGCTGGCCCTAGGATTTTATAGGCCTCCCCCCCCCCATCCTTCCTCCCATTCCGTCTCCCCACTGAGATCTCTTTCTAGCCTATCCTTACAACTGTTTGCAGGGCAGGTGTAAAACACAAGACTTGGGTCACATTCACACATACATCTAAAGCACATAGCTCCCCCCCCCCAAGAATTCTGGGAACTGTTGTTTATGAAGCATTGCTCCCATGATTCTTTGGGGGCAGCCATGGCAGTTGAAGTGCTATAATCTGCCTGATTCCCAGCAAAGGCTGGTTGTTAGGAGAGCCAAAGATGCCCTCTGGACCTCTGGTGGGGCTCAGCCGGCAGCACTCCAGCACAAAATATGAAGAAGTGGTCTGGCTTTTATAGAGGACCCAACCCAAGGGACCCAGAAGTTGCTGCAGACTTGAGCACACTATGCTCTGTGGCTGAGAACTGGCTGAATTCTGCAGTGCCTTGTGAAAACCCGTCCCCTTTTCTCAATCACTGGAACTGGGTGTCCCTGCACCTCCCCTTGCCCCCAAAGCCTGTCGATTCCTCCCCCCCCCACCTCCCCTGCTCCAGTTGCTCCCACAGCCCACTCTTGCAAAAGAAACCCTCGAATTGCTACATGCCATGCAGAGGCACGGCGGTTGCAGCCCTTCTGCAAGGCAGAAGTCGCTTGTGCAATTCCTTAGGGCTGCAAACCCTCCACGCTGTTCCAGTTGGGAGAAACGCATGTGGCAGATGCCAGCTCTTCGATCCCTGCCACATCTCCCTGCCCCTAGGGAAGACCTTTGCTTGAAAGGCGAAGGAGAGCTTTAGCCTAGAAGGAATCATAGGCCTGACTTAGTCGGAAAGGGCCTTTTTACAGCCTATACCACCCTTGTAAGTTGCATCACTGCTGGGTGAGTGATCCTTTCAGGCAACTAGGCATGGAAGCTTTATAAATCCAGTTCTTCC